CTAGCCGGGCGAGGTGGCGGGTGCCTGTAGTCCCAGCTACTCGGGAGGCTGAGGCAGGAGAATGGCGTAGACCCGGGAGGCGGAGCTTGCAGTGAGCTGAGATCCGGCCACTGCACTCCAGCCTGGGCGACAGAGCGAGACTCCGTCTCCAAAAAAAAAAATAAATAAATAAATAAGAAAGAATAAAGGGCAGGAATTTGTTTTCTTTTAGAAAAGAGGACTCCTCCAGGAAGGGTCCTCGGCTTCAACAAGAGTCTCTTGTTGACTAATAAGCCCCTCACTGCCTTGTAGTCTTTTATGCCTCACAGTGAGGATTCAAGCTTCTCTCCCTTCTATACCCCATGAGGAAGGCTACCAAGGGGCAGAGAACAGAAACAGCCACCAAGTTCTTGGGCCAAGTCCAGGGCTTCTTGGACTGTATTCAGAGAGCTGCGGCTTTTCTCTACCACTTGCAACAGCTCTTGGTGTCTTTATGTGAGTTGCTTATTAACCAGAGGATATCAGGACACTGGGAGGGCAGAGCTGGTGCTGGTTGCCAGTGAGAATAATTCAGAAACACAGAGCGGGGCAGAGCTGATGTGTGCAGCCGATGTGACGGACAGAGGTGCCTGGCAGCGTGGAACCAGGCTCTGGGCACCATGCAGGAGCAGCAGACTGGAGGGGCCTGTGGCCTATGGGGATGGCCAGGAAAGGCAGGGTCCCCTACCAACACTGCAGGCCACCCCCAGGATGAAGGCATGGCGAAGGGCACTGATGGCAACTGGAGGCCACCTGTCGGGATGGGACACAGCACTGGACTGACACTTCCCTCTCACGGCCACACATCTATCATCCTCCTTTTCCAAAGAGACTGCTTTTCCAGAAAAGGCCCTGAGTAAAAGACTCAAATCCCAGACATCCTCTTCCCTGTCTTCCATAAGCTGCTACTGACAGTCCCCATCTACAGAGTCAGTATTGATGGGCTTCACCTGCCAGCTGACCCCTTGGGGTCAAACCAAGGAAGCAAAACAGCCATGGGCCCTGAGATGGTTCCTGACACCAGGCCACAGAGCAGCTTCCTGCTGTGTCTAAAGAAACACGGATTAGCCACGCTTCGGCCGGGCTTCAGTGCTATGTGTCTTAGGTTTCAAGCTGGTACCAGCTGCACCGAGGGGAAATGGTTGGGGAAGTTCTCCTGTTTGGCTTCTTTCCACATGGAGGACAGCAAAAGGAAGAGGGAGCTTAGAGCTGCTATGCTGGTACCGATGCCTTAAAAATGATGATATAAACACAGCCACAGGAGTCAGCCTGTGAGTCCCTGATGGGGACCAGAGGAGAAATGTCCTGACTTACCCTTCAGCCCACGCTCTGCAAACAGAAGTGACCCAGCCCTCATCTATCACCTCAAAAGCTAAACAACTTCCTCAGACGGCCCCATGGAATATAAATCAGGAGGGCCCTAGCTTCTAAGAAACCAGTACACAACTACAGCCCTCAGAAATACTTATCCTCATCTTCTTTCTTCCTCTCCTTTCAGAATAGGGTGCTAGCGAGTCATATCTGCAGATGAGGCCAAGCAAGGTGGTTCATGTTTGCAGTCCCAGCACTTTGGGAGCTGAGGTGGGTGGATCACTTGAGGCCAGGAGTTTGAGACCAGCCTGGTCAACATGGTGAAACCCCGTCGCCACTAAAAATACAAAAATTAGCCAGGCATGGTGGTGCGTGCCTGTAATCCCAGCTACTCAGGAGGCTGAGCCAGGAGAATTGCTTGAACCCGGGAGGCGGAGTTTGTAGCAAGCCGAGATTGCGCCACTGCCTTCCAGCCTGGGCAACAGAGAGAGACTCCATCTCAAACGAATAAACAAACAAACAAAATAACTGCAGATGTATGTCGGAGGTCACCTTAAGCATGTTACTCAAAGTATCTGAGCATGGGTCCTCATCTGTATCTCTGAGCATAGGTTTGAGGTGGGAGGTAAATGACATCATCCATTCAGAGTTCTTAGTATACTACTACCTCGATAAATATCATCATTTCAGCGGCTGAAGGCCATTGTCAGGTATAAAAAAGGAGAAACAATACTTCTATACTAATCCCAAACAAGAAGGCTATGGGCCAGGGCTTCAGTGATTCATGATGTCCAAGCCTTCTTGCTCCTGCTCTCTCTCATGCCAAGTCTGTGCCAGACCTGGTCGCACTTGGCAACCTCAGCAGCCTCCAACTTGTTTGAATTCTCACAGAGAATCCCAATGGGTACTCCGACCTGCTGGCGCAGAGACAAATTCAAACACACTGGAGTGGCAGTGAAATGTATAAGAAATAGTCACAAGGAACGTTCAAGCTCTCAGAATGCCTGCAGAGCTGGGGTTTACACAGAGGGCCCCACTTTTCCAGACAGGCAGGGGAGCAAGCTTACAAATTATTTCCTCTCATGCATACTTTCATGATAGCATCATAACATGCACAATAAACACCTTTGGCTCCCCACTGAACAGGTACAGACACGACGGCTTTTCTGTTTTAAAGCTCCCGAATGCCAAAGCCTTCTCTGCTGCTCTGATGCCCCAACTTTCGCTGCCTGGGAATTGGATCTGGGGTAATGAGTGACCCAGCAGGCAGAGATGACAGATTCCTGCCTAATGTAGCAATGCCGGGACAACCTGGAGTATCTGGCGTGGCGGGCAGGCACAGGCAGGATGGGAGAGGTAGCCATGAGTACACCAACCTTTGTCCCTGTTTGCTCTGGGAGAGGGCAGGCCCTGCCAATGCTGCTCTCCTCTCGTGGTGCCTCTGCCTGGGGCTCTTGGCTAGTCAAACCTCCCCGGGGACCTGAGGCGACCTGACCTTGGTGGGTGGCAAGCCGAGACCTCTTCAGGCAGTCAAAGGGTGCTCTGGCACCTCTGACATGACACAGCAGGTGTGGGGTTTGTAGGCCTTGCCTGCTCCTGCCCCCTTCTTTCCTTCTGGCTCCTTCCCAGTGGAAAGCTTATCATTAACTAGCCGCTCAGAAAACGATGACCTACCCTGGGGCACTCCTTGGTTCAAACCACTTACAGGGTCTGAGGAAAACAGAAGGACGGTGCAGAGCCTGAGCTGGGCGGTGTTGCATGCCTTCCTCTTGCCAGCCTTTGTCCTCTGGGGCAAGGGAGCACTCCTTTTTTAGCCTTGCTCACTGCCATATAAGTGGGTGTCTTGAGGAACCTGTGTGTTCTTTCTTCTGGCAAGGCTGCCCAGTTCTCTGGTTCCCCAGGTTAGGTACAAACAGGGTGACAGAGATACACGTCTGGTGGGGAGGTGGGGACACTCTGGCTCTTGTGTGAGAAATCCTCCTGCTTGCTCTCTCTCTTTCTCTCTCTTTTTTTTTTTTTCCTGGATGACACTGCTGGGGCTTGAAGCAGGCTGATCCTGAAAACCTACTTTTCTTGAGAAAAGTCTGAGGGTTTTCTCTTTTCCTAGGAAGCTAGGCCCTGGTCCCCTGGCCCCTTCACCTTATGGAGGGCACCCCCTCTGCCAGGTCCCTCCCAGCTGGCAGGAGCGCTTACGAAGGTCAGAGAAAAGCATCCTTCCCTTTCACAAATAAACAAACCCAATCCATGTGCTGGAGGACTTAGGGTATATTAATAGCCAGATATTTTGTTTTCCTATTCTGGTGCTTATCCCCTTCCACTAGGATGAAAGATAAGAGAACACAAAATGTTCTCCATCAGCCACCCTTCTCCCCTCCCCCAGGGAGAGGCAAGCCGGGGGCGTGCGCTCTTCTGTTTAAAACCATTCCTGATGGAGAAACCCTGAGAAAATAGACTTAAAAGTTTATATTCAGTCTCTCTTGGCTACTGTTGCTGCTCAGCAAAGAAACTCTATATTGTTTAAACCCTCCAGGCGAACGGGTTGCAAGGCAACCTTCAAACAATAGAAAATACCCCAAACTAAAAATAAAGGCATTAAGAGATGGAAAGCATGGTGTCCCTTTGGTGAAGTGATTCCAGAATTGGGGCAAGGGAGAAGGTTGTCGATCAGGCTGTTTGTGTGTGACGTCAGCCAGTTTGCCTGCTCTCACCCTTATCAATTGAGTTTCTTATAATCCAGACGTATGGGGTCCTGCTTCTTTTTATTTCTGGACTCTCTATCCTCTCACTGGTCATCAACTGCTTTGTGGGGGAGGGTGTCAAAGGCCTGTAAGGTTGGGTGCCTCCTGTCCTCAGGAAACTTCCTAATCAATGCACTTATCCCACTGGCTCCCAGCTGACAAGGAACGGCACTCCCGTTCCTGAGAAATCCTTAGAAACCCAAGAACAGACAGGGCTGGGGCCCAACTTAATATAAGGTTCCTACAGGAAGAAAGCAGGAGGGTCAGAGTTGGGGAGGACACGAGATGATGGAAACAGGCTGGAGCCTGTTTTGAAGACGAGGAAGAGGCCATAAGCCAAGGAATATGGGCAGCCCCTAGAAGCTGGGAAAGAAAAGGAAATGGCTCCTCCTCTAGAGCCTCCAGAAGGAACACGGCCAAGCCAGCACCTTGATTTTAGCCTTGTGAGACCCACTTTGCACTTCTGGCCTCCAGAAATGGAAGATCATGCATTCATGTTGTTTTAAGCCACTGGATTTGTGGTGATTTGTTACAACAGGAGATTAATACAATCATGAAAAGGAGAACCCGAGGAACTTTCATAAGGACAAGGAGTTGACAGTGAGTTCCTGGGCACTGCAGGCAGGTGACTGGGAAGCCTGGTGATGCCCTGGCCCTGGCCCTCAGTGACTGCTGCTCTCTGGCTGTGTGCTCTTTGCTGCAGATAGAGACCAGTAGGGGGCACTGAGCCAGCGGGGCAGCCTTTAAACAATCAAACACACATCAATACAAAGGCTGGGGCTTTGCCCACGGAGAGGGCAGGCTGATGGGTGCATTATCCAAAAGGCAGTGGGGACGTTGTTTTCACCCATGACCCTTGGCCCACCCCAATCAGTGTCACTCAAAGAGAGATTAGACTGGAAACGGAAACTGGAAGAAAGAAAAATACATCACCTCCACCTCCTACTCCAGGTTGCTGGCCAGAAATTACTGAAGATTCCCTTGGACTTCTCTGGAAGGAGACATGTAAGAGACTACAAGGCAGGTTGTGAGCAAGTTTGACTTCTCTCTGTTTATTCTCTGATTAAATGTCTTCTAAGGACATTTTCTTCTCTGGTATAACAGAGCCTAGGAAATCCTACCTAAAAAAAAAAAAGCAGAAGACCAATAATTTACTCTGTTCTCATCACATTTCTAGGAGACAAGAACCATCAGTCCCATTTTATAATTTGGGACTCTGAATTACAGAGAGAGCAAGCAACATGGACATGGCCACACAGCCAACCAGAGCGTTTCACTCAAAGCAAAATGCAGCTCTCCTGGCACCTGCACTGGTACTGCCTTCTGTGTGCTCACGCTTAGTCTCAGGCTCTGGCTAACCCGGTCAGTAGGGCGTGGCCTCTGGGTAGGTGGTCCCAGTGGAATGCAGAGATAGAAAATCATTAAACCTGTCATCACAGGGCAAGCCACTGACGCCTCAGTGGGAAGATTTTCCAGACCAGAGCTCTGAATTGCTCTGGGGTGTATGTGTGTGTCAGTTTGGAAGGTAATCAGGGGAGGAGGGAAGGTCCTAAATAACAGCCAAGTCAAGGTATTAGCACTCTACTTTACATAAATAAACCCACAAAGAGCTCTCATTATTTTCTAGCATCAATCCAAATCTTTTTCTAGCTTTTTTCTCATTCATCTGCCCTGTTTCTCCCTCCCTTTATCATTCTTCTGAGAGTACCTGGAATCTACCTTTAGGAGCAAAGCTAAAAGATTCTCCAAACTCACTGCCAGGGGATTGAAGTGGCTTATGCCAAGCAGCTGCTGAACCTCCAGGACCAGCTCTGCCAGGGCCCATGGCTCGGCATGAACGCCAGCAGCTCCGCACACTGCGGGCCATCTCCACTGCCCTTTCACTCAGAGAGGCTTCTGCAGTCACCCTCATTTCTTTCTTTCTTTCTTTTTTTTGAGACAGAGTTTCGCTCCGTTGCCCAGGCCAGAGTGCAGAGGCATGATCATGGTTCACTGCAACCTCTGCCTCCTGGGTTCCAGCGATTCTCGTGCCTCAGCCTCCCAAGTAGCTGGGACTACAGGAGTGTGCCACCATACCTGGTTAATTGTTTTTTCTTTTTTTTTTGAGATGGAGTCTCATTCTTGTTGCCCAGGCTGAAGTGCAATGATGTGATCTCAGCTCACTGTAACCTCCGCCTCCCCAGTTCTAGTGATTCTCCTGCCTCAGCCTCCCAAGCAGCTGGGATTACAGGTGCCCACCACCACATCCAGCTAATTTCTGTATTTTTAGTAGAGACGGGGTTTCACCATGTTAGCTAGGCTGGTCTCAAACTCCTGACCTCAGGTGATCCACCCACCTTGGCCTCCCAAAGTGCTGGGATTATAGGCATGAGCTACCACACCCAGCAATTTTGTATTTTTAGTACAGATGGGTTTCTTTTTTTTTTTTTTTGAGACGGAGTCTCACTCTGTTGCCGAGGCTGGAGTGCAGTGGTGTGATCTTGACTCACCACAACCTCTGCCTCCTGGTTTCAAGTGATTCTCCTGCCTCAGCCTCCTAAGTAGCTGGGATTACAGGTGTGCACCACCGCACCTGGCTAATTTTTGAATTTTTAGTAGAGACAGAGTTTTGCCATGTTGGCCAGGCTGGTTTCGAACTCCTGATCTCAGGTGATCCACCCACCTCGGCCTCCCAAAGTGCTGGGATTATAGGCGTGAGCCACTGCGCCTGGCCAGATGGGGTTTCACCATGTTGGCCAGGCTGGTCTTTAACTCCTGACCTCAAGTGATCCACCCTCCTCGGCCTCCCACAGTGCTGGGATTAGAGGTGTGAGCCACCACGTCTAGCCAACCCTCATTTCTTGCCACCCAAATTTTGTGACTCTCAAAGACTATGAAAGGATGCCTCTGTTTTCCTTAAGGTATAAAGAGAGTGAAATGGAATGATTTGGTTTCAAATGATATTGTCAGGTCTTAAGTATTTAAAAAGTGTAACAAGCTTGGGCAACATAGTGGGGACCCATCTCTACAAAAAAATAAAAAATGAGCTGGGCATGGTGGTGTGTGCCTGTAGTCCCAGCTACTCAGGAGGCTGTGGTGGTAGGATCACTTGAACCCAGGAGTTTGAGGCTTCAGAGAGCCATGATCATGCCACTGCACTCCAGCCTGGGTGACAGAGCGAGACCCTGTCTCAAAAAAGAAAAGTGTGTAGCTGAGGCAACTGTGAGCTTTCAACTGCTGGGGACCTTCTGCCCATCCTACATGATAACTGCTGCTCTTGCATCACCACAGCCAGTGCACCTCCCCAACCATGGGCAACCGGAGAAAATTGCACAACACTCAACTGTCCTCTAATTAAACTAAAGAATGAGTATCAACAAATGGGGAAATGGTCTGCAAGATACTGACACAAGGAGACCTCATGCCCAAGAATTTGGCAGTACTTACGTAGCATTACACAGACAAGAACAGAGACACAGTCTCCTGGCCAGTTAGCCGGTCACACAGAACTGTACTTACACAGGTAGAAGTCAAGATACCCCTAGAGTCTGCAGCTGCTTTCTAGGCTCCCATAAGAGCTACTGATTAGCATCTGGGTGTCCTGGATCCCTTTATAACAGAAAAAGAGGTAGTTTGGGGGCCAGAGAAATATTCTAGGTCCTAGGATTCAGTTTCCAGATCTTCGAAATTTTTTTAATTGTAAAAATATGCGTAATAGGCCAGGCGTGGTGTCTCACGCCTGTAATCCCAGCATTTTGGGAGCCTGAGGCAGGCAGATCACCTGAGGTCAGGAGTTCGAGACCAGCCTGACCAACATGGAGACACCCTGTCTCTACTAAAAATACAAAACTAGCTGGGAGTGGTGGCGCATGCCTGTAATCCCAGCCACTCAGGAGGCTGAGGCAGGAGAATCATTTGAACCTGGGAGGTGGAGGTTGCAGTGAGCCAAGATCACGCCATTGCATTCCAGCCTGGGCAACAAAAGTGAAACTCCGTCTCAAAAAAAAAAAAAAAAAAAAAAAGCATAATATAAGATTGCCATTTAAAATGTTTAAGTCCAGTGGCATTAAGTACATTCACACTGTTGTGCAACTATAACCACCATCCTAGATAGTACAAAACTTTTTTTTTTTTTTTTTTTGAGATGGAGTCTCACTGTGTTGCCCAAGTTGGAGTGCAGTGGTGTGATCTCAGCTCACTGCAACCTCCACCTCCTAGGTTCAAGTGGTTCTCCTGCCTCAGCCTCCTGAGCAGTTGGGATTATAGACACCCGCCACCACTCCTGGCTAATTTTTTGTATTTTTAGTAGAGACAGGGTTTCACCACGTTGGCCAGGCTGGTCTCAAACTCCTGGCCTCAAGTAATCCACTCACCTCGGCCTCCCAAAATGCTGGGATTACAGGCGAGAGCCAGCGTGCCTGGCCCTACATAGTATAAAACTTTTTTAGTGTGTGTGTGAGACATGGCCTCTTTCTGTCACCCAGGCTGGAGTGCAGTGGCCCCATCATGGCTCACTGACCTCCCAGGCTCAAGCGATCCTCCCACCATAGCTTGCCAAGTAGCTGGGATTACAGGGGTGTGCCACCATGCCTAGTTATTTTTTTAAATTGTTGTTTTCTGTAGAGACAAGATCTCACCATATTGCCAGGGCTGGTCTCGAACTCCTGGGCTCAAGCCATCCTCCCACCTCAGCCTCCCAAAGTGCTGGGATTACAGGAGTGAGCCACCACACCCAGCCAGTGCAAAACTTCTATTAACTAGATTCTGTGAAGACCACAGCAAGGTGATTTCCTTGAAAAGGCTCTGCCTGAACGTCTTTCATGGTATCTCAAACTATGATATCCATAAGAAAGGTACCAAAAAACCCTTTTGGCCTCAAAAAGAATAGTAACAAACCCACTCGTGTGCCAACTCCCCATTCCACTTTCTTTTCAGGCTCCACCGTCCCCACCACTTAGCAGTGACTTCAGAGCCGACCTAAATCTGAAGAGGAGCTTCATCAGCTCCTTTTAGTATCCAAATCTGCCCCCACCCTTGCTCATCCCTTTTAGTTTCTCTGGGTAATTGCATGTTTTCATACATAAATGAAAAGCAATGATTGCAAGGCTGAGGGGTAAATGTGGTATGGGCAGGTTCCATAACAGAGAGGTTTCCAGAGAATGACAAAATGGGGGAAGACTCCCTGATCTGGAAGAAATGTGAAGCTGTAAGAAAATAGCTTGAGAAAGGACTGTTGGGGGAAACTCAAGAGAGCACAGAGGGATGGAGGTATGAGTGGAAAGGGGTGGTGAGACCTATACATTGATTCCAAAATCTTTATTTATCTTTATCTATAGCCCTGACCTCTCTCTGGAATGCCAGACTCATAAATGTAGCTCCTACCTGACAATTCCTCTTGGATGTCCAATTGGTACTTAACACGGACAAAGCAGAACTCTTCATTTGACCTGCCCTACCTAAGTCTGCTTCTCCCTTAATCTTTTCTAACTAAATTCATGACAAAATCTGAAAGTAACCGCTAATAGCCCTTTCTGTGACTCCTCCCAACCCTGCAGAAAGTCTTACTGACTCTATTTCCACAAAAAATGCCGTGTAGCTGTCCACTTTTCTCTATTTCTACTTCAGTTGTCCCAGTCTAAGCCATCATCATCTAACATCTCTCTACAATGACCTCCTCAACTGACCTGCCTACTTCCATTCTACAACCCCTACACCATCCATTTTCTACTAAAAGTTAGTGATCTTTTAAAATTCAGATCAGCTCATGTCACCTTTCTTGCTTAATAGCTTTCAAGGTCTTCTCATACTTTCAGAATAAAATACAGGCCGGGCACGGTGGCTCACGCCTGTAATTCCAGCACTTTGGGAGGCCCAGGCAGGTGGATCACGTGAGGTCAGGAGTTCAAGACCAGCCTGGCCAACATGGTGAAACTCTGTCTCTACTAAAAATACAAAAACTAGCTGGCGTGGTGGTACATGCCTGTAATCCTAGCTATGTGGGAGGCTGAGGCAGGAGAATCACTTGAACCTGGGAGGCAGAGGTTGCAGTGAGCTGAGATTACACCACTGCACTCTAGCAGGTGACAGAGTGAGACTTCGTCTCAAAAAAACAAAAACAAAAACAAACAAACAAAAAATGCAATTTCCTTACCCTAGCTACAAAGCCCTCCATAAGCTGGACTCCGTACATTTTTCCTACCTCACTTTTTTGTTTTGTTTTGTTTTTTGGGATGGAGTTTCGCTCTTGTTCCCTAGGCTGGAGTGCAATGGCACGATCTCAGCTCACTGCAACCTCCATCTCCTGGGTTCCAGTGATTCTCCTGCCCCAGCCTCTCAAGTAGCTGGGATTACAGGTGCCCACCAGCATGCCCAGCTAGTTTTTTGTATTTTTAGTAGAGATGGGGCTTTACCATGTTGGCCAGGCTGATCTCAAATTCCTGACATCAGGTGATCCACCTGCCTCGGCCTCCGAAAGTGCTAGGATTACAGGCATGAACCACCGAGCCCAGCTTCCTACCTCACTTTATATCATTTTTCCCTGATTCTGCCATGGCCACACTGGCCATCCTGCTGGTTCTCAAACACAAAGAACTTCTTCCTACCTTGTTGACTCTGTATGAGTTAATATCATGTTATGTCTGGAATGCTTCTCTCACATGTCTGTCTATGGATGGCTCCTTCTTATCATATCTCAGCTTAAATGACATATCTTCAGAGAAACTTGCCCTATGCATCTCATCTAAAGTGGGCAAGACACTAATTTACTACTATGTGATATCTTCTGGCTCATTTAATTTTTTGTGTCTTACCCCATAGAATATAAACTCCATAAGAGAAGGACTTTGTCTTTTCTATAAGGGATTCCCAGTGCCTAAAATAGCGTCTGGCATAGAACAGGTGTTCCATAAAGTAAGCTGGATGAATAGGTTAAAAAAATATGATCATTCTATGCAATAAATGATCAAAAGGAACAAAGCAAAGATCAAAAGTAAGGTAG